AAAAACCACAGGTCATCTTTGCTCTGTTTTAATAAGCAGCCTCAGGGGTGAATTACAAGTTGAACATATGAACACGAACAATACAAGCCTCAGTATAGGTTCTGCTGTGCTGTGCTGACACGTCCTGAGTAAAAGGGACATGGGACATAAAGCCAAACTAATAGACTGGCTGCTACCAGTTGAAAGGATTATTTTCTTGGTGGGATTCCTGTGCATAAGTGACGATTCTCTGCATGCTGATGGCCCATGCTTTACTATTCTCTAATAAAGATCTTTTGCCAACAAAGTTATGCCTGGTGTTTAATGAATTACCACAACAGAAGGAGGATTAGTAGTAAACAGAATCAGAAATAGAAACAATACACAAAGAAGCAAAAAGAAAGGGTGAAGACAAATCAAAGAAGACTTTTTGTACCTGTACTACAGCAGCTCCATCAGCAAATCTGGCAAACCTCCCAGAAGAGATTTCAAGTTTCCTACAAAAACAGCAAGAACACAACACGTGAAACTGCCAGTGACCCTGCACCGTTCGCTTTATTTCACAGTTCATGGAAGAGAATGGAAACTGGGAAAGACCACTCACTTATCTCCGAGGTCCACTCCCACTCTACATGCGTTAGTATGGCGGCTGTAAACACTCTGGTGACATAACCGGACATGAAGGCGGGCGAACGAGCGCCCCAGCCGGAGCAAATACTTCATATTTAACCAGTAAACAACAAAAATATCCGCGCTCAGTTTGTCTTTACAGTTGGGATGTGAGCGAGGAGGCTACCATGACAGTTCGTCACATGTGCGGAATTACGTAGAGAAGCTGCCTCTTCTGATTGGACAGCGCGAGGAGAGTGTGTCACATCCACGGAGTTTCCTGCCATCCAGTAAACAATAGTTCCGCTTGATCTACTTTACATTTATCTATTTAAATAAATAAACAGGTGTATTCAAATTGGCTTTTAGTAATCAATAAGGTGTTCCTTTTACATATTTTACTTGATTCTCTATAATCTTAAAAAAGCTCAAAAGGATGGCATATTTTTCGATTGTTTGACGTATGTAATATATTTTTGTATTTATTTTCCTATAATCTCCTTGATGTCTAGTTACTTTAAAAATATCAGTGAGAGTTTAGAAAGCAATATAAGAAAAAAAGAGGAGTAAAACTTGCTAGAGGAGAGAGGAAATACAAAAGATGACACGATCATTCACTTAAGACCTCCATGAAATCTAATTGTAATGGTTTGATATATTTGACCCACTTATTCCACAAATTAAAAAACACATTTTCTTAAGACTGAGTAAAAAGTTTAAGGGGAAAACAGTATTACGTTTGCTTTTTTTTTTTTTTTTAAATCTCTTTCTTCACATTCCCAGAATATATGTCAGTGACTGAGTTCTTAAAATCTAGATTGCATCTAACATTTGCTATATGCTCATGCAAAATGTCTTAAGCAAACAAATAATCGTGATGTCTAAGATGCCCGTGGAAATTATCATGCTGTAAATGACAATTTGTGCATTTCTGTGGGAATTTGTATAAATCAGCCAGTTCTCATCTTATGAAAGATTACCCTCTGTTTTCTATTTTTATTTGTATCTTTTCATTATTATTATTATTATTATTATTATTATTATTATTATTATTATTATTATTATTATTATTTACAATTTTTCAAGGCGATATTTCTTAGACTAACTTTATGTTTTTGCTGTGTCACTAAAATGCAATTTTAAATTCTCACCACTAGGTGTCAGGATTAAAAAGCTCATATAAGGCATATAGTTCTACCACAACGGTCAGACACTCTCCTTTTTCTCCATGGACGTCACTGTTGAAATATAGGTTTTTGTTTGTTTGTTTGTTTGAAAAGTTCTTCTGATATTTTCGTTTGCTCGACCTCCAGCCACTTTCATTAAAGTGGTGAGATTATTTCAACCCTATATCAGCGTATATGAGAAAAATGTTTTTTTGTTTCTCTCTTCTCTATTTTGAGAGTTTTGTTTTTTTTGGGGGAGTGTCGTTTTTTTTTATCAACTGTTATGATTTCTCTTGAAACCTTGTATTAAACATTGCATGGACCCTGTCCAGTCATCAGTCAGTACATCTGGCAGTCAATCAGTGACCTTGCCTCCACATGAGACGATCAGTCCTGAAGTTTGTTTACAGCCTTCCAGTCAGTCAGTGAGCCAGCTCACTAACACTGAGCCTGGTGCAGTTGTTATGGCAACAGATGAAGTGTTAACAGCATCTCTAGGCATTACTTTCACGCATACACGCACGCGCACACACAGCAGCTAATTGCAGGGCTGAGCAGCAGGATTTCACACGGGCACACACACTGAAACACATAAGCTCTCATTCCCATTATTACTAAGGTTTCTACCAGTTTTATCTTGTTTCCATGGCTCCAGGACACACTGAGATCTCATTTATACCACGCAGAGCCACAAACTATTACTGTGTAATGGACCACTCAGTGTTTTCCACAGGACTACATGGATCATATAAATAACTCAGTGGAAGATAATGTGTTGTTTGCCTTGAAGAGAAAATGTAAATGTCTAGAGACAAATACAAAAGTTTGATATATTTTAACGGACAGGCTGTATCAATCAGTCATTAAGTCATCTGGTCATCTAACAGAGACTCCTGTGGCCTTAGAAATGATTTGAACTAACTGCATAATAATTAGAATCCATTTGACTGATCAATGGTTACTCAAACAGGGCAAATTTAGGGGAAAGTAAAGGGGAAGTAAAAGTATAATATCAGTTCCATCTTTCAAGACAATTGGGAAACCACTTTAAGTCATAGTGTCTGGTCTTCATGTAGGATGATCGTGCAATTGATAAAAGTGCAAAAAGGTTTTTTGTTTATGTGTCTGGAGTGTGTTTGTCTCTCAATCACTTCAGGACACAAAAGGCTTACGTGGTTTAGTGATTTTCATGCTGTGTTGGATCAGGAGGGGGCAACAGATTCAGCCTGCATTAACTCTGCACTGATCTCTGTCACACACACATGAACACACACATGCAGAATCAACAGGAGCTTTAGCGGGGGTGAGAAACGAGGCTTTTCTGGCTCCTTGGCGATCAGTTTGAGTCTGACTATTTCATCACAAACACCTGCTCACCTTCAATGAAAGGATCTTTTTCCTCATGTGAAAACCTTTAATTGAGTACTGCTGTTTAAATTGTTTAATGATTTAATTTTTTCACCAGAGAAGTGTTGGTTCCTTGTAGTCCTTACTTTATATTTTAAAAAAACATCTCATCATTCATTCTTTCTGTAAAGCGAAAGCTCAATAATTGATTTGACTGATATGGACACGCATAAGCTTGCAGCAGCCATGTATAGACAGCTTTTGGCTACTTGAGCTGACAAGGCATGATTTGCTTTGTCACAAGCGTGATAATTACATTATGGCACATGGCAAGGAACCACATAAGGAGCTCCCACTCTGAGAACAAAGCAGGGCACAACTGTAGCTCATGGAAGGTTGTTGCTTTATGGCTGTGTTAGCTATCCTAACTACCATAACCTACCGATCGTTAATAATCATCAGCGTGCAAATATGGCTCATATATCACTGTTTTTAACTGCTCTCTATCTATCTATCTATCTATCTATCTATCTATCTATCTATCTATCTATCTATCTATCTATCTATCTATCTATCTATATGAAAGAGAAAGACAAATAGAGAGAGAGTATTTATATATACTATATTTATATATAGAGAGTATCATAGGTATTTCACATTGACCTTTCGTGCAAATTTGTAATTGTTGTACATTATTATTATTATTTTGTAACATTGCAATTACATTGCTGTTCCTTTTCCTACAATACATTAACATGTACAGCAGCTGTGGGCAAATGATTCAATGATTTTGTATTATGAAAAATCCTTTATGGAGTTTAACACCTTGTCCAGTAAATGCCTTCCATCGAGGAAAACTCACCTTGTATGTATAAGGTCTAAAGAAGTGAATTTTGACTGATGCATACAGTTCCCTGGCAGGCTAGCTTTGTCAGCATTATGTCTCCTAATAAATGAACCTTTTGGGATCAGTTTATTGATTTGATGCAGATTAGAACTCCACCCCCCTCCTCTCTCTCCTTTCTCTCTATTTCTGTGTGTGTGTGTGTGTGTGTTTACTGGATATGAATGATGATTCAGAGAACACCGGGAAAAGTGTCCTCATGACACATGCACAACATGCTGATGTTGAGACGATCAGTCCAACCAGAGTGTGACAGGTCATCAGCTGATCATCGGTTGCAGAGATTCATGACAACAGTGAACAACAGTTTTCATTCTTATTCTTATTATTTTTAATAATAATAATAATTGGTTGGAAACTATGAAGGAGTATTAGGGTCACATTAAGAAAAAAATATATTGTTGATCATTTTGGGAAAAAATTTGAAATGAGGAGATTACCATTGTTGTTTCAAGACAAACTGCCACAGCTGCTATACCCTCTACAAATGACCTTGTTTAGATGAGTTAGTGAAACAAATTGACGAGCCGTATGGTAACACAACATACATTCTCTTTATTGCACGAGTGTGTAACCATCGATAACCTTGCATCTGTCCATTACAATCCATTTCCTTCATTTCCTTCTCCACATTTGTGTGTTTTCCCGTCTAACCAGATGCAGCTTTCTGCACCATCTTTCCAACGTCCTTATAATTATCACCACTCTGTGTTTATGTGCTAAAAGAGAAATCATTTCCTTCCTTGTTACTAAAACAGATTCTGAACTCACTAACTCAGAGGGTACAGAAACTGTAGCAGTATGTCTTGAAAGAACAATTGTAATCTCCACATTTTGACTTTTTTTCTTAAAATAGTATCATTTGGGTAGCACTGTTGTTCTCTCAGTGCTCGCACTGGCTCTTTTAGGATCTATAGTTTCTAATGACATCAAAAACATGCCAGGTGAATTTTCCTATTACTGTGCTGCAGGAAAAAGCCACTGGTTTACAGCAAGTGTAGGTCTCCATGTGTTAAACAATGGCGACCCACCGCTCCCAAAGTCTAAGATAAGCAAATGCAATGAGCTTCCCTGTACAGAGATCAAAGAGCATATCTTTCTGTTATCTCTGTCTTACTATCTAAATCAGCAAAATCAATGGTTATTTATTTTGTGAAATAAAATTGAACCAAAATGTTGTGATTTAAATCGTGACCCTGCTTTCCTAAATATTGGCTTCCTGCAGCATTACTTATCTCCAAAGCCTCTCAAACAGACATGTGAAGTAAAGCCAAGGGGCTGCAAAGATACTTTTTGATCTCCATCCTATTATGGCCAGCCATTA